GGCTTGATTGGTAGCTGAGTGTTTGCTAATTGCACGCCCTGTCTTGGTAGCAATGAAGTCTGAACGGCTTGATTTAAACTGGAGCCAAATCAGGGAATTCAATCTTGAAAGCAGGAACTGCTGTGTTTTCATCAGCCTCCTTCTCCTCCCATTCCATAGTAGAGTCACAATGCTGCATTTGTACCATCACTGCCGTTCCCATGGCTACAGACTGTGATGTCACAAACACATGCATTGCGGCCATACCAAGCTTGGACAGTGGTTCCCTACTTCTGAGCTGAAGCAGGGCTGGGATGGGGTGATCCACCTCCAAGAAAAACCTAAGAGCTGTAAGAAGACATGTTGATGAGTCAGCAAGTGGCACCTTCGCTCTGAGTCAGAAGTGGACCGGCACAGATGGGTGGGGCCAGGAAGCCTACAGTAGTGGAGCCGTGCATACAGCATGTCAGCCGGACGGCCACTTCATGCAAAATGGGAGACACGGCACTTTGCATTCATGCACAATTCCTCCTGGATTAACCATTGTGCTAAACATTTTAGAAAACAGTGGATTAACAATAGCTTTCCTTCTGGGTAATGTAAATGAAAAACCAGGTGTGGTGTTCTTCAGCCCAGCTATTGGCTGATTTAAATGTCACAGTGCCTTTTCCTGTTGGGAAAAGATGACAACTATCTGTAAATAGCCACTTCTGAGGCATTCTTGGTACAGTGGTAAGCAACCTGGTGTCTGTCAGAGGTTTTGGACTGCAACTCGCCCTGGTCCCAGACAGCATTACGGATGTCCAGGGTTTATGAGTTTTGTAGCCCCAAACATCAGGAGGCTACTAGCTTTCCCCAGTCTGATGCCCCTTGTATCCTTTTGACTTCAGCTTCCATTGGTGCCAGCCAACTAGTATGCTGGACGTTATCCAGAAGATCTGAAAGCCATAGGTTGGGAAATTCTGTTGTTGACTATAATCCTAAATTAGTCTTTAACCTTCTGATAAATGAACAAGAACAAATAAAACTTTGTTATGCTGATATAAGTACTAATCCATTTAGCCTAGTATAATATTTGTCTAATGTATGCAGAAACAAGGAATACCTGTCTAAGGTGGCTTTCTGGACCACTGCTTCCTTAGACCCTTTCTAAACTGGAGATGCCGGCTGGAGACGGAGCCTGGGACTTGTGCATGCATGCACAGCATGTGTTCTGGCACCGAGTGATGCCTGCTCTCTGCTGAGTCTTGGCTCCATTCCTAGGCTTGCTAATTGGCTAATAATATCCCTGCCTGGCTGTGATGAGTAGGAATCACTTCCAAGGAACATGAGAACTTTAATTAACTGGAGTAGATTTGTTTGTTTCTATTTTATTTTACCATAGAGGACATCAACATGCCACAGTTACCATAAATGCTCATTGCATGCACACTAGCAGACGTTTTCTCGAGGCCAGTAACTTCCTGTGTACATTTTTTTAAAACAAGGCTATCCTAGACACAAAAATCAGTTGGACTTCCATTCTGGGGAGTAGATTGATACTTAAGATTGTGGCATTAATTTGCAGTGTGGTTCATTAACTGAGGTGTGGATCATGTTTGAAGATATTTATGGCAATATTTATATGCATTTCTGTACCCATGATTCGGATCTTGTGACATTTGCTGGAGCTGATCTAAAGGAGCTCAAAAGAGCATGCTAAGTAATCCAACAACATATTGAGGTTGTTGTCCCAAGCCCTTCTCCAAAAGAAAGAATAACTGGGTTAAAACACCATGATAATCCACATGTAAGAGTTGGATATGGGTTGGCTGTGTTGTTGACCCATGAACTATTGTTGAAACCTAGCTTGTTTTATTACCTCAGCCCAGCCAAAATAACTAACTGTGGTGAACAGCCACAGTTCACAATTTCATAACACACTGTGGATTGTTAATGCAGCTGGGTTCAGACAGCACAATAACCCCTGTTTGAACAACAATCCATATGCAACTTTTGAACGTGGGCTATTGTGCTGTCTCAAGCCAGTTAGCGTGTGGTTGTACTGATAAAACTGGACCATGTAGTTTGACAGACTCTCGGTCCCAGAGTTTCCTGGGCATAGGCTGGGGCAGAAACAAAAAGGCAAAATAATTATTGGGGATGTTAATCCCTAGGAGAACCAGCAGTGGTGGTAGGATTTACAGGCACAAAATATATGTCTAGTTCAGATCCACACCATGCTGCCATGTTGGGCAAGAAATACTTATCCTGAGATTGTATGTAAAGTGGTCACAGAGTGTGCATGTGGAAGGGAGCCTGTGAAACAAGTTTTCCTTTGGCTCCCCCAAATTTTCTTGGACCACCCTAAATATATGTCTGTGATGCCTCATGTATGAAGTAGTATAGAAACTGTTTCAATAAATGAGGAAGCAACCGTACACATGTTAACACAGAAAAAGGTTCTGCAATCCAGAATTGGCAAGTGGTTATTGATTCAGGTCTAATTAGAATGGAAGGCTAAGATCTTCCATATGTGGCATTCTGTTTTGATTGAATAATTAACTCACTAGATTGCTAGCATCAATTCAGAATTCTGTGCTGGCCCCATAAATGCAGCAGGCAAGCGGTTATATTAGGCAACAAGAGCAGCTGAAGCCAAACAAAGCAACAATGAAAGCAGACAAAGATGCGTTCAGGCGACTCTTTTTCCCAGCATAACGGCAAGGTTCAGAGCATATGCTAACAAAGTTAAACAAGCCTCCTGTGGGATAATAGCCTGCAGTTTAGTTTTATAGTGGAGTAAAGTGGAAGATTGTGCCATGTATTGAGACAAACAGCTGGATTCAGTAGAGGGAACAGACACACAGTTGCATCTGGAATGCACAGCAAGGCAGTTTTCCAGGTTCTGAGATACAGAAGCCCCACTTCAAGTTGCTTGCCTATTACTTCCTGATTTGCGTGGACATTCTGCATTGGTTTAGTCTGGGAATAACTACCACAATTTCTTATAGCATTACCAAAAATTACAGGCATCATGCAAGCCATAAATACCATGGAATGATTGGTGTACATTTTAAAGCATATACACCCTTGTTCAACATAAACATAATTTGCATTAAATACATTTATATGAAGTTAGATGGTCATTGCCAAGGGATTTGGTTACTACTTTGGGGGTGGAGTGGGGGTTACCCAAAATCTGTACCCTCTAGAATTGGAAGTGAATATTTAAAATGCATTGGTGAGCCAGTGACATTATCTTTATAGGCTTTTCACTGCCACCCATGTCCAAATGAGACAAGAATGGAATCTTTTTCCTCTGTGGAAAGAAGGTGGCAATATAAACCTTATGTAAGAGCATAACTTTGGATAAGGTTTTTAACAGTTCCAAGGATGCATTATACTAGTGTTTGTCTAGATACACTTTCTCCCCTTGCCGATCGGAATGAAATAAAGCATTGTTTAAACATAAATGTGGAACTGTGTCATGCTTGTGTTTATTAACACACACCCCTTCCTTTTTTGGCTCCTATGTATCTGCCAAGATTCTGCTCAGTGAAGCGTTTCCTAGTCTGTAAAATATTCGAAGTGAAAAAAAAAAAAAGGGACTAGTGAAAATGAGACATTTTGCCGTCAATCTGATAGGAATCCTCTGCCACTCAACAAAATAAAAACTTGGGTTTGGTTTTTTTTTTTTTTTTTTGGATTTCACTTTTTTCCCTAGTAGAAATATTTAGTACATAGAACCATCTGACTAATAAAAGGCAAAACCATAGATTTTGCAGGTTTTTCAGTTCAAAAAACTACTGTGCACATAAACTTTGATTTTAAGAAGCATTTAAGTAAACAAACTGAAAATAGCACGCATGTTTATAAATTCAATATTTGAGATATTTGCCATAAATTATGAAAGTTCTTGATTGGTAGTGGTATCCCAGTTATGGAATGACTCCCTTAAAGCATCTTGCTCGGCACCTGCTTTGCAGTCTTTTTGGCACCTGCATTCTCCAACTTGTTCTGATTTACTTCCTTTGATAGATTTTAAAATCAGTGTTGTTCCTGCATGTGTGTTTTGACAAAGTTGGTTGTACACTGCCCTGAAATCCTACCCAGGATGCAGAGCAGTATAGGAACGTTTAAAATGAATGATAACAAAGACACACCAGGGCAAATTAAAAGGAACAAAAGTGGATGAGACAATGGAAGAGGTTAATGCAAATAAATGGTGAAGATAAAATAATGATCCTTTGTAAAGTAAGCAGTAAGTCCATTTCAAACTTTGGCTGGAGTAAAATGCCTTGGCAAGTAGTGCCCCTCTAGGTGCATCAGATCGTAGCTGCACGGGAAGCTGCAGCAAGGATCTGAATCTGGCAAGGTATCAGGGGACCAGGGGTAGAAAATTTAGTGGTAGATGGGCTGGAGATAGGGCACTTGATGATGCAAGCAAGGAAAAAGGGCTGAGGGCAGAAACATAGTCAGAGAATGGGCTGGTAGCTAGGTACTGCGCTGGAGAGATGTGATGATGATCCATGTTCTTGCTTTGTGGGATGCGTTGCTCTTAGCAGCAAAGCAAAGGCATTAGATGCAGTCAGCCACACCCCTATTGGACTTTCAAATCGCAAGGTCCCACCTTGGCCATCATCTAGCGGCTATGGCAGCATTACAGAGATTGGGCAGGTAGAGCCTCAGCCTGAGAGCTGTCCTGGCGACACGGGGTATAAAGTGCCTGGGCATCTGAATTCCTGGATCCAGTCCCCCAGAGCCATGGGTTGGGCTCAAGATATTTTGCAAGTTCGTATATCAATTTGGTGCAAGAATGGTGCACGCTTTTTGTTCTGCTGCCTTTATACTGAGAGTGACCGATGGGTTCATGCTTAGGGTTAGTTGACCTGGTGTCCTCCATGTTTGATCAGTGTCAAGATGTAAAGATATTGCCATCTTTTCCTAATGCACTATCGCTAATGCCTTCTTGTTAACCCGTGATTGCTCAGCTTCTGCAGTGGTGTGCCCAGTCTTAAAAGCGACCCTTCTTTTTCCAGAAGAAACGACTCCTTCACATAAAATCATCAGCCCACCCTCTGGAGTTACTTACCCTCATGATGATGTCTCGGATTATGGCCTCAAGCCGTACCCCTTCGCTTTGTCTAGCCTTTCGGCAGATCACATGGGCAGATATGGACAGCCAGATAGCATAGGGTCAAAATGCTACTTGGACCCTGTCAAGGCTGCAGGTCTTGAGTTGGGCCCTAGGATTGAGATAACTCCATTTTATGAACTGACTCACTCAGGGGGTTCCTTCAGCAGCAGAGACACAGATCTATTGGTAGAACATCAATCCAGCTCAGCTACTGCTAGCCCAAGGTTTACCCTGCCTGTCCCTGGCTTTGAGAGCTACCGAGAACCGCTGTGCCTGAGCCCTCCTAGCAGTGGCTCCTCTGCAAGCTTCATTTCAGAGACAAATTTCTCTCCTTACACCTCACCATGCGTTTCACCAAATAATGGCCCTAGTGATGACCTTTGTCCACAGTTTCAAAACACCCATGCTCATTATTCCCCTAGAACCTCGCCAATAATGTCCCCACAAGCAACCATCGTGGAGGATACCTGCTTGGGGCCACGTTCACCATCATCACGTCCCAACTCAAGGTCGTCGTCTCCAGGTGCAAAGCGGAGGTACCCTTGCACTGATCACTACGGGAGTCAGCAACCTTCCACTTCTCCACGGCAATCGAGGACCCCCTCTCCACTGGCCTCTCCCCAGGTCCCTCTGAGAGAAGACGGATCTTCAGTCACTTACACCCAGTTGTCCACCTCCTCTAGCCTCATGGATGCAATGAGCAACCTCACCACTGATCCTTCCTGCGGAGTTCCCACAAAAATAGGGAGAGCCAGCCCAGATTCTTTCCTGATGTCTTCCCACAAAGCCAGCCTGCCATGTCATGTGCTTCAGCCTGTCGAATACATTGGGTCTTGTGAACAGGATGACCGGAGAAATGCACCACCGGAGTCTATCTTGTTGGTGCCGCCATCTTGGCCAAAGCAGCTGATGCCTGCAATACCCATCTGCAGGTAAGCAGCATGTTGTGCAATCATTTCTAACATTTTTAAAAGCAGAATCTGGCTCTGTTTCTTGAAAATCGTGTTATGCATATGTTTAGGATCATGCAATTTTTACAACTTTCCTAAACAACAACCACCATTATGGCACCCAAGAAAATTTAAAAAAAAAACCCTTCTGTGATGCAGTATGGTGGGACCTACTGTATGAGTTACTAACCAGCCACTGTATTGTGTCCAATGCTAGTCTAATTTAGGACCTATTCATTTCAATGGTTCTACTCTAAGTAGGACCAACATTGGATACTACTGATTATCTTAAAAGCACATCCAGTAAAAAACTGATTTTGACATGTAAGCCTAGCTGGGATTAAGTTAATCAAGGAAAGGTTTTTTTTAATTGCTACTGATTTAATCTTTAGATTTGACCAAAGCTCCCTTCAGCTCCACTCCCTGCTGCTGACTGTATTTGGAGCTAGTAAAGTCTGCAGGGTAGTATCATGCAATGGTTAGACTCTATAAATCAACATATTTGGCATGGCACCCTGTGAAGTGTGGTCCTGGGCTAGAATGTTGGACAACAACTGGGGAAATCTGGATTGAAATCTCCCCTCAACTGTGATGCCCATGGAGTGATCTCCAAGACTACTGACTTCTGAGTTTGTTTCTTACACAGAGCCCTTGAAGGAAAGGGGTGAGATGATGATGATGATGATGTAATGTTTATTCTGTAAAAAGTTTAGAAACTGACCATCTTAGCTGTAGCTCAAAAATATTGGCATTTTCCACAACGACACTCCCACCCAAATCTTCTGAAATTCTGGGTTTTCTGCATGCCATTTGTAGATTAGGACCTTAAATGTGATGTGGGTGCTTCTGAAACATGACAGTAGTATGGCCCTTCTGTGCCAGGTCTTCTGAATTTGAGCTAAGAAACTTTCTGACCTTTGTGATCTAATTTGTACTGGGTATACTCACCCTTAAGAGGCCATCTTTGGACAAAAAGATGTGACATCTTACAAGCCATATGGCTTGGCTGAGCCTGGTGTATATCAGTATAAGGACCTTGGTCTTTGGCTGGTCAAGCTTAGAAGGGACCACAAAAGTAATCTAGTTCAGCCCCCTGCTGTTGAGGTCTGCCAATGCTACCAATTGGTGGCAATTGCACCTTTGTTTACAGTCTTTCTTCTGTAGGGCTTTGGACTACTGCTTCCAAGCCCAGCAGCTCTTCTTGAGGAGTCTGAGCTGGAAAACACTCCCTCAAGTTGTAGATGTAGTTGCCGCCAGCTCTTGGTTGTGATACTTCTCTACAAGGCAGAGCATGAGTTTAGCTTTGTGCTGAACTTTGCACATACTACGTGTGGGGTTTACCTTGCTGTAGATTGATGAACTGATAAAAAAGGATTTCTGGGAACCTTCACAGATATGAGGAACCTTGTGACTTTCTCCTCTTCCATCTGTCCATCCCCACCCAGTGATCTGCAGGAGGTGCCATAATTGCATGGCAGACAGAATGCTTTGCATGTGGAAGGTGCACTGTTCTATCCTTGGAAAGTTCAGTTAAAAGGATCTTAGGTGGCAAGAATTGGAAAGGTATCTAAAAACCGGAGTGATCATGAGCCAATCAGAGCATTCTGAACAGACAGATGTGGACAATTCCCTTAATATCACAGAAATGAAAATAGAGAGTTCATATGAACACCAGACTTTACAGCTTGGTTGCTGTTCTTATAGAGATATCACTGCGTAAGTGCAAGGTCTCCCTCTAAGCAGTAGGTGGAAGTCATTTGATAGAGGCAATGAACTGTCTTCCAGGGTCCTGTTGCTGAGGCTGGAAATAAGCAAACAAGTGGATCTTAATAGGATACTGTGAAGCTGTGAAGGGACGTATGGGAGAGGTTTGGCAGGCAGGACCAAGGAATCCTGAACCCTTTCCTAATCTGCAAATATTCCCTTTCTAATATTTCCCCTTTCAACTGAGCTCTTTACTTACATAGGCAGAAAAGAAATCAGTAAAGACATTACAGGTGGGGAGTGTTCCCGGGAGGTTCCAATTATGGGGTCAGAGTCAAGCAAACCTGCTTGCCCACTGATTCTCCCTTGCAAATGTTGTCCTGCCACTGTGCCTCTAGGAACCCCAAACATAGATCATATAGCCAGTTTCCTGCCTCACAGTTACATCCACGCCAAAAGTATTCCTAGGAATGATGGTTCTAAAGTTGGATGTTCCATCAATTAATCGTAATGAATAGGCACTGAGCCTCCATGAATTCATCCAATTCCCTTTTTAAAAGCATCTAAGCTAATGGACATCATTCAGCCATGTGTAAGGTTTCAAACCTATTGAAAGCCGGGTCAGAGGTGTTAGATTATCCAGTGCGGGGAGGGAGCAGCAACAGAGGCAACCTTTGACTTCCTATCCTCTTGCCTTGCAGATTTTGCTAGTGAGGGTGTTTGGAAGGGGAAAGGAGGCAGCTGGAAGAGGTGCTAGTTGACTCATATCCTGGCCTTTCCAGAAGTCCCTTCCGCTTGCTGGCCACCAGAATGACCTCCTTCCTCCTCCTCCTCCTCCTCCTCATCCTCAGAGATTGCTTTTCTAACTATGCAGCTGGTGTGGTTCTTTCCACATCAGCTGTAATGTCCCTTCTGAGGTTGGAGTGCTGTCTCTGATAATCCTATAGGATCTGGGTTGCTTGCCCAGAGACTATCGGATTGCTCTCTCTGAATTCCTTCAATGCATTTATGCAATATGTGAAAAGGTACTTCTTTTTCTGCATCTCCTGTTAATCAGTGGAACAATACCACATTATTAGAACTCTGGGAAAGGGAGAAAAAAATGCTTTTCTAAAATGGAGATTTGTACAGCCTATTCTGGGTGGGTGTTATATTTAGATAAACTGCATTTCATAATGATGTTCAAATGTACTTTCGCCCCAACCCCAGCATTCCTGTGCAGTCCCTCCCGCCACTTGAGTGGCCACTCCCGAGTCATTCTGGTTCTTACGAACTGCGGATTGAAGTGCAGCCAAAACCCCACCACCGCGCCCATTACGAGACAGAAGGAAGCCGAGGGGCAGTGAAAGCACCAACCGGAGGACATCCTGTGGTCCAGGTAAGGTGTTTTGTTTTTGTTTTTGTTTTGGTGTGTATAGACTGTGGTGGCTCTTAAAAGCATCATGGGTAGTATCCAAATGTGTCATTCTCTTAGCACAAATGATGCTGCTTTAGTAGAAATTAGGTTCTGAAATATGCACAAGAGAAGAATCTAATTAAACTTACTTTTGCCCAAGTACAGCGGTTCAACCAGTTGTCCACAACTTCTGTTCAACTTGTGCAAAGGTTGCACTTTCTGCTCCTGCAGGGGGTGTATGTTTGACTTGGGCTACCTGTCTCTCTACCAAACAAACATAACAGGCAGCCCCTTGAACAATGGAAAGATTCAGCAGATCTCTGTTAGTGCTAGTTGAATTTGCAAAATTACGTGGTAGGATATTGCCCAAAGGCTCTTGATAATACAGTCTGATGTCACCTTATTTGGGAAGAAGGAGGAGTGTAGTATTGCAAAGCTAAAGTTATACTTTGGGCCTTCTAGGGACCAAGGCACATGGCTCTCTGGGGAAAACAGCCATGCCCTGGTTGTTTAGGCTGTTTTACATTTGGGACATTGAGAGATGATATCACATTCAGGCATAAATACTTTTAAAATCATTTAACAAATGAAACAAAAAGGTTATTTCAGGGAGCGATGGAAAGGATGCTCATCAGGGCAGGTGAAAACAAAATGTAAAAGACTTAAGTTTGGAAAATTGAAGTGAAATGCAAATTTTCTGAAATAAATTAACTAGTCTTAACAGAGAATTTTTTAAAAATTTAAATCACAGCTTAAGGCAGGCTTCCCTATCCTGGTGCTCTCCAAATTGGTTGAACTCCCATAATGCTCAGCCATTGGCCTGCTAGGAATGATGTGAGCTCTTTCTCTGTCATGTTTATTGAAAGCAGCCCGGGAACATGTTTCTTTCCATGTTATCCTTGCAACAACTCTGAGATGCAGGTTAGGCTGAGAATCAGTGTCTGTCTGTTCCTGGTCGCCCACTCGACTTGTGCAGAATTTTATTTTGGCTGTTGGGCAAATGACTCCAAACGTGAGTTGGACACGTGCCTGTCTTGAACCGGCTGAAGTGCTTTTCTGGGGAGTTGCTGACTAAAGCAGCCTGTCCACATATTGCCTTCGGTGGTGTTTGCTGCTGCGAATCACGTTGTCCCCTGGTGGCTTACAGTCACAGGGCCACCTCCTTTTGCAATATCTTCTTCAGGTGACGCCAGCAGGAAATCTTTTCATTGGCAACTGAGATAAGCAGGGGGAGGAGGTCAGCTGAAGCCCTTCGCACAAAGTCGGCACTTAGCTCAGTGAGGCATTTGATAGCCTGCTATAAAGTTTATGCAGTTGTAAAGCAATAGGAGCCCAGGTTAATGGGTTCATGAATTCATAGGGGGAAGGTGAATGAGTTTGGAGCAAGAAGGCAATTTGCATGTTAGACTGAGGTCACAGAAGCAATGGACAATCTTTAAGGTGTAGGAGAATGGACCTTGTGGCCATTCAGAGGTGATTGGACTCGAGCATCTTTCAGTCTGAGCCAGCATGGCCAGTGGTTATGGATAGTGGGAGTTATACTCAAACCACACCTGTTGGGCCGCAGGTGTCCACCACTACTGTACAGTACTGAAGGAACAGAAGATTGATCATTATGTTGTAAGCCATCCAGAGATGGAAGTACTTGGACAGCATACACATTTTTAATTTTTTTTAAAAAAATCAAATTAAATTAAAATTAATTGAAATTAAAAATCATTGCAAGTATGCACATTTGGTGAATTACAGTTGGAGAAGTCAACTCAGCTCTAATCTTAAATGATGTCAGAATCAAAAATTGACCTCTGAGCATGGCAACGGTTCTGCAACAGACCCTGCCAGCTGTAAGGAGAACTTGCATGTTCTGCATTCTGCAGTATTCTGACACATGTTGCGATTCTGTAATGGCCAAGGGGTCCACAAGCTGGTACTATCCAAGATCCCGTGTGGGGATCCTGTTTATCTTGGTTCATGTCATCCTATCTCATATTCACAAGGCTTCAGTGGGTGGTGGGTACAGCTGTGATGCAGCTGTAAAAGAGGTTACCTTTATAGGTTGCCTTAAAAACATGACTGAGTCATATACTTTCATGGGCTTGAAGCCACTTTAACAGATACATGTCTTATACCTGGTGGGCAGATATACTCATGCAGGCATACACATCAGCCCTCTTAAGCTATTCGCACAAGTTGAATTGTGTTGGGGAAAGTGAGGAGGTGTTTGCTGGCCTTGCTTGCTTCCTCACAACTTCAGGGTCTTCCACGTGTGGTAGCATCAGCCTGATAAGGCCACTCTATGGGTGTAGGTGCTATGTACAATTTATAAACTATCTTCCAGGGAAGGCATGATCAAGGACAAGTAACCTGCCCTAAAGACTGACTCCTTTGAACCCATGGTTTTCAATTCCAGTAGAAACCTATTTCACGGGTATTCCATCTGTCTAGAAGAAAATCTGTTAATTTAAGAGAAAGATGCGATGCGTACGGCTCCTTTGTTGGGGAGCAGGAAAGGACACATACCTTGTCTACGCTGAGTTAGGACCAGGGTTCCAAATCATGCAGTAGACATGACATATGCAGAGCAGGTGCTGTTTCAGATGTTCCCTGTCCATGGAAAGTGCCAGGACTGGTGTCAGGGATGTGACTAACTTAGCAGCTCGAATAGGGATAGAGATAGATGGAGAGGGAGGATGGAAACTGGCTGCAGAAGGCTGCAAAATGCAAGAGGTCCAATTTGTGACCTGTTTACATTCCTTTCAAAGGTGGCCTGTAGGTAGAGGCACCTATGCTTGACATGCACCAAATTACTGGTGAGGCAAGTTCTGGTCCATGGGTCTAACCTGGACCACAGAAGTTCCCCATCCACACCTGAGGTTCTTCTTCTGTGGGCCCAACCTTTGCCTTTCCCAAGTACCCCCTTTGGGGATGGAGGCCACCAGCCTTCTTGGAAGGTGGCCTGAAGAGCAATCTCCTTGTCTTCGGTCTGTGTATGTGATTGGCTTTCACATGACTGGCAACCCTGATCATGTTGAGCATCCACACAATTCTGGCTGCTCCCACATGGACTTCCCTTTGTAGGGCCAGAGGCAGGGCCCACACCACAGGGCCCGCTTGTTCCACCTTCTGCATGCATATCACTGGTGAGAAGGGCTGAAATCTGCACAGGGTAAGCATAATGGCCATTCGCAGCAGAAGCGCTTGACTATCTTCCTAGATCTGCTGAGCTTGCTTAACACTTCAGATAGGAGAGAGAACCTTAGTCCCTCTTGAGCCCTATGCAAATATAGTCAAACCTGTTAATCAGTCCTATGTTGTCTGTGCATGCTGGAGTACATTTTGCTCATCCCTGACTTATTTCAAGGAAGAGTTTTAGGAAGGAAATTCTTACTATATTGAATAAACTTTTGTCCTATGACTTTGCTTATAATTTTTATAAGTTTCCTCTTTTTTCGGCTTGGGAGTTGATTTTGAGTGAAGGGAAGCTGCACAGCACTGGATCTCATATCCTCCCCTGCTTTGTCTTGTGGTTTTGCTCTCTGATGCCACTTCCTCCTCTTTGCATGCTTGGTCTCAGGAGCTTGGCACACTCCACGGAGGAGCGTGTGCTCGCAGGGTACTTCTAGAACACCAGAACAATTGTCTGTCTGTTAAAGTTGGAGCCTCTGGCAGGGCAAGATGCATTCAGCAAGGACATGAGCTTTTGTGTGTTTAACATCGTGTTCAAGGGCTGAGAATAGCAACAACTGCCTCTGTGTTGAGGACAAAGGCTGGTGTTGACTTATAGCTTTTTTTCCCTTCCAGGTTGGCACCATCACCCAGTTCAGAGAGGATGTGGTGCTCACATCCTTTGCCTTTTGGTCAACTCCTTGTCAAATTCTACCAGTAGTTGTTTTCAACATTTGCAAAAAGGGTAGACCTGGCATGCTCTAAGCTGGGAAAAACGGAGTTAAACTATGATGATGCAGCATTGTTAAACGTGTTCTGTACATGCTCCAAGGCACCTGTTTTTATGTCATGGATTTAGACACCATATGGGAGTACTTGGTCCTAGCTCAGATTAAACCTTCTGTTCTGAATTAGAAAGTCTAGAAGGGAGAAGAGAAAATAAGAGCACTAACGTTGCGCTATGTGCTCTGAATGCAGCACTCCCGATCAGCTATTTTGACAGCACAATCCAGTGCATGTTTATTCAAAACTAAATCTCAGTGGGGCTTGCCTCTTGATAAGTGACTATAGGATAAGTAAATTTGTGTATATTAAGGTGTCCTGAGGCTCCTTCAAACTATTCATTAGCCATACTAGGGGAAAATAAAACCTCCATCTTCAGAAGCAGTTTACCACTAAGCAAGCAGGGTAACACTATTTTTATGCTGTGCTTGTGTTATGTTGTATAGCTTACTGAGAACAATCTTAAACCATGATAATATAATTATTACTTTACTAAGGTTTTTAAAAAGATGCGGTTGCTTTCTTTGTAATATGAACATTCCCCAGAATCTTCCACTGATTCAAATCTCATTAAGCAATCTAACACTTACTGTATGTTACATGCAACTGAATATAACAAGCCTGCCATGGGTGGTTTTATTGTGGAAAAGCAGTTTTTGTCATGTATTTTTCAGGGAGAGAGCAGCAAGGAGTTAATGGGGAAGAGAGGTGCTGAACCCTATTCGTAGCCCTCTCCCCCCGCCCCCAAACTCTCTCTTGGTAAATTATTTCTTTAAAATATTTTATATACTGCCCTTCATTAAGATGGATTCCAGGTTTCAGATCAAACAGCCAGATCAAAAATGCCAAAGACTGAGAACAGAGACAGAAAAGATTAAGAACAGATTAAAATAGCACCACTTAATGCAGTAGGTACTTAAAGTTCTTGGGAGGATGGAGAGATTTTCAGCTGGTTCCCAGAAGCTAATGGCAACAATGTCAGGCAAAACTCCCTGAAGGGGCAGTTCTGCAGTTTGGGTGCTCCACTGCTGAAA